ATCTATAGGGGAGAAGTAGTCCAAGTATAAATGAGGTCTTACAGATGTTTCTAAAGCCATTGTAGTAGATGGCACATCTGTGAGAGCTGTGGGAGTGGTCCGACCAATTTTTTCTCTAATAGTTGTGATTTTATTTGTAAAGAAGCTCATGAAGTCATTGCTGCTGAGATCTAAGGGAATGTTAAGCTCAACAGCACTGTGGCTCTTTGTCAGCCTGGCTACAGTGCTGAAAAGAAACCTGGGGTTGTTCTTATTTTCCTCAATCAGTGATGAATAAAATGCGGTTCTGGCACTATGAAGGACTTTCGTATATGTTATTAAACTATCTTTCCAGGCTATGAAAAACTCTGCTGACTTAGTGGAGCGCCACCTCCTTTCCATTTTTCGTGATGCCTGCTTTAGGGAGCGGAGCTGCGAGCTGTATTTACAGTTTGAGAGAAGCCAACTGAGTCTAATAATGAACAGAATGCATTGTTGAGGCTGTCATTGTCGGCATCTACATGAATATTAAAGTCGCCTACTATGATTATTTTATCTGTACTAAGCACTAAATCAGACAGAAAGTCTGAGAATTCACTTAAAAACTCTGAATAAGGAGCAGGTGGACGGTATACAATAACAAACAGAACAGGCTTTTGAGTTTTCCAGTTTGGGTGTGAGAGACTCAGGGTGAGACTTTCAAATGAGTTATAACTATGTTTAGGTCTAGGGTTGATTAATAGGCTTGAGTCAAAGATCAGCATTTATATAATGGCCTCCAGCTTGCAGGTTGGCACTCCTGGTTTACTAGTCAAACAGAGAATTATTCGGTCTTGTGCCTTTTTAAAAGTATATTCAAAGTCAAAATATAATATTCACTAGTGAAAAATTGTTTAGTCACATTTTCATTGCTAAGATAATTTGCTTTACAGGGGTGTACTGGCTGAAATGTTTTTACTGATGGTGATGGTAAATACATTCACTGAAGTTAATAAGGTGTAAACACTGCATCCTTTCAACGATTTACTCCAGGCTGTAAAAACCACAAAATATGGAATTGTACATCTGAAATGTCTTGTGTGTTTGAGATACACAATACCTTTCCAACCAGCACGTCCTGGAGGTTTCACTGTTTGTCCTCTGCAGGCTCATCAGCAGGAGGCTGAGGGTACATGAAGCGGACTGGATCGTACAGATCATCTCTGGGGTCATAGGGCAGTGGGTAGTAGTAAGGGTAGGGATAGGGGGATACTTTCTTCTTGATAGGAACAGGAGGTGATGGCTCCTCAACAGGGACCACGTTCCTTCCCTTGTTGGGCCTGGGTGAGTGGTCAATCAGGCAGTCAGGGTCCCAGTAGGGGTCACAGTCGTACTCTATGCCCTTGAAGGTATGGATGGGAGCCGGGGGAGGCTTCTTGACGAGTATTGGTGGAGGTGGAGTGGACTTCTTTGGTGGAGGAGGAGGAGGTTGTGGCTCTTCTACAGGGGCCGGTGTGGCCTTCCGGGGGGTGGTAGCAGGGGTCACAGAGCACAGGCACGGCACCGCTGGGCAGGTAGACAATGTGGGGATCCTTCTGGTTGCATAGGTTAAGAACATCAGCCTGGGAAATGGGTGGAGCAGGAGGAAGAGGGGGAGGGGGAGGGGTAGCCTGTGGCTCTGCAGGCTTTGCCGTC